TATTCCAGTTCAAGGAGTTCCACCGTCTGACTATTTTATTACTCGCAAACCTGATATTCTAAGAGTCGGAAAAAAGACTGGCCTGAGCTATAGGCAAAAAGAAACCTTATATTCAATTGATGTTAGTACAGACTAGTGTAAGCTATTTGCAAAAAGACCTATGGCTTGGGCTTACATGCTAAATCTTAGCATAAAGTTGAAAACATCATCTACCGGACTCATACTTCATGGGATGGGGTAAAAGAAAAGAAAGTGAGATGAAAAATCTTTTCTGTTCTCTGTACAATTAAAATAAGCATAAAATTGGCATCATAAATTTGAGTTATTTTCCTCAGCATTTGGGAATCACAAATAAATTTGTTTCAATAACAGGCAGCATATCAGTTGATCATGTTATAGTACCCAGGGAAAAAACCGAAAATGAACTCACACGAAACCTCTTCAAATAAATTCTCACAATATTTAAACAGTCATCAGAATCCATTCCCAAAGGGGTAGGTAAACAAACCTGCAGCCGCTTCTCCTTCTTTCTCTCATTCCGCTTAGCTGACTTGGTCTTTGACTTTACAACTGATGGAGGATCATAACCAGGAGGTTCATCATGGGACGCCATCTCCTTTTTCCACTGCAGAGACAAAACAATCCCCATGAATGCCACGAACATGACTTCTAGGGTACACTAAAATGGGAATTAAACTTATAGCAGAAATACAATAGAAAACAGTCACTGCCTTGCACTCTAAGTCATACAATTTTCCAGAACTTGTAAAAACTTCTTTCATTTCATTTGTTTCCTTACTCATGCGAACTATGGTACGAATTGTAGAAGCTTATCTTCATCATTTTACAGGAAAGAAAAAAAGAACCTGCACATAATTATGTACTCTTTTGTTTCTTTAATGAGAAAACTAACTTCCATTGAGAAAAAAAATGAAAGAAAACAAGAGCATCCAAAACAATAAGCCCACAAAAGGTATTCCAACTAGAGAAAGGGGCTGAATCAAGAAGACTGAGACATACAAGTAATTACAAAAAGAATCAAATATTGAACCTAATGAGGGACGTTACGACGTTAGAGACCCTCTCAAATCCTCTAAAAATCCTATTGTTCCTCTCCCTCAAAGACCCCACAAAAGAGCAGAAACCCGACACTAATTTTAAGTAAAGAAAATTAATGATTTAAGGAGCAACCTAGGCACTAAGCCCAATGAGGGTGCCTCACCTCACTTCAACACACTGATTGTGTGTCGAACTGTGGATGATGCAAGGATTTAAGTGAGTCCTGGATGATCCTATCGAGGGTCCTGATAAACAAGAGGCAGCTCAAGAAACATGATTGTAGATGTGAGCAATATTGAATCAACAAAGAGGCATGTACAGTCTTTATATTTCCTTTCCATCAAAGATATAAGAAATTTATTACACAAATGCTTATATCCTCCATAAATTACTTGAAAAGGCACGTGTATATACAAAGCTCAACAGTTAAGCCGGTCAATCTCTACTCCCTCTAATCTAATCATAGGTTCAAATCCTCGAAAAGGGCCTTTAATTTCCATTATCTCATTGTTTTTACAATACATATTCTATGTTTATATTCTGTGCTTCATCAAATGAAATGATCGCGTATTTCACTGAGCTTCGTCCATTAAACACACCGAAGGAAAATACAGTGATTTAGATTGCAGCCACATCACACTAACTGGCAGCAGCTCAAAGGATGATTTCAGTTCCCTAGCATGAGTTTGAGGAGCGAGGCAAACGAAGAACAGAGCAAGCAAACTAAAACTCAATAGAAATGGAGAAGGGAAAAAAAAGAAGGATGGAAAAAGGATAATAGCGATGAGGCATACATACCAGAGCCCCTTTGGATTGGTAAATGGCGACTTCATCCTGCGGAACATAGCCAGCCCTAATCCGAAGGGGTTTTCGAAGAGTACCATCGGGACGCCTTGTTGGCGCCAGAATCCTTTCTCCTTCTTTTAGGGTTTTGCTCAGCTCCGCCATTTGCTTCAGCTGATCTTCTCCTCCACCTCCTCCATCACTGCTCTCCATCGTATAAAAGGCAATTAATTACGATACTGCCAGAACTCAGCTTCGGATTCAAACAAATTTCTTCTGCCTTTCGATGTCAATTATTCGAAGCCAGACCAAGTCGTGTCCCACCCAACTCTTTTTGTTTTCCTCGTTCTTTATTTTTTTAAATCACCATTGACGTTCATTTAAACTACCATTGATGTTCATATAAACTAACTTATATCACTGGTTGATTGAATTTTCAAAAAAATTAAAAAATTCTTATGGGTAGGATATATATTTAAATTTGAATTCTTAACTTTAACTCTATCTTTTTTTTTTTTTTAAGATTATTACCAATATTATGAATATTTAATATTTTTATGTTCTAAATCTCATAATTGGTAAATAAAAACATATTTTATTTTCAATAAAGTTGTTATGGTTGTTTATTCAATAAAGATTGTTATTAAATAAAGTAAATTTTACCATCATTAATCTAAATCCAATAAACTAAAAACACTCTGACTATAGTATGATTATTTGAACTATATGTAGAGATATAAGAGTTGATCAAATTCAAGTATATAGTCAAAATGATCTATAGTATAAGAATAAGGCTGAGTACCTTATTTTGGAGACACTATGAATGCAGCCCACTTTTGTATATGATATAAACAATGTGATCACTAAATTGTACATGTGGAGACATGTGCGTGAGGGCGTCCTAGGCCATGAGTATTGCATAAGATCGGACCATGAAGAAAATCACTCACTTTATAATATCATTTATTGTTGAGACTGATTTTCTTATCATTCGATAACCTAGGTAACTCGATCTTAATGTTAAGCTAACCATGAACTCCGATTTATTCGGAATTATCCTTAGATTTGCATGGGTGAGAGTGGCTCGTTCGCCGACTCAATAGGCCTCCCATTTTAGGGGTAAGACTGAGTAAATGGTTGGGAACGTGGGGTGCAAGATGGAATTCACTCCTACCCACTTTTAGGGATAGAAGAGAGGTAGTTCCCTTACGTATTGACTACAGGTCTTGAACAAGGGGCCACACCCTCTATAAATTCCACTAACATGATTTTTTCCATTAAATGAAGAACATTTTGACTTTCTTCATTTTGATTTAACAATCCATTTGAATTATTAATTTCAAATTAAAATAATATTAAATTATTAATTAAACTATTTAATTAATATTTAATATTAATTCAAATGTCAATCCCAATTAATTTGACACATATTTGATTAAAATATTTAAATCTTATTTAAATATCTCAAATTCTCTCTTTTTGTTTAATTTGTAAATAAAACAAAAATGCGGTTAAATATATCGTATATATGTAGTGCATTCTCCCTAATTTAAATTCGAACACTTCGAACTCACTCGTCACGTTGCTCCATGGTTTAGTCTGATATGAGCTAGCAAAGGGACCTAATGGACCTATAGATCATGGGCTCCAACGATCCAAGATTAACTGGTTAAACTCATTAACCTTGTTAACCAGCATTCATTAACTACTAGGACATTCCACTACAGCCTAGTAGTTGCACTCCCCTCACTATAGATATATTTCTGTCCATTTGATATAACCATGATTAGTAAGTCGATCTTTCACAAGTTGTTCGTAACTAAAGCTGGGTCAGTTTACTGTTTTACCCCTAAAGTTACTTCTTATTCCTTATGTCTCACTAATCCTCTAATGAACAATTGAGTTGTGGTCCAACCAGTAAACCGAATATCTCTCAGGCTAATGAGAAGGTGGGGCCCCTTGTTCAAGACCTGGAGTCAATATGTAAGGGAACTACCCCTCTTCTATCCCTAAAAGTGGGTGATTTCCATCTTGCACCTCACGTACTCATCCATTTACCCAGTCTTACCCCTGAAATGGGAGACCTATTGAGTCGGCGAACTTGAGCCACTCTCACCCATACAAATTTAAGGATAATTCCAAATAAACAGGAGTTCATGGTTAACTCAGGATTAAGATTGAGTTACCTAAGTCATCGAATGAAAAAAAAATCAATCTCAACCGTAAACGACATTATAAAGTTGTGAATATTTAATATTTGAATTTTTGGAGAATTAATATTGAGTTTTTTTTTTTGTTATTTTTTATAATCTCTCCCCTTGTTCATTTTTTCTCTCTTTTCCATTTAATTTTTTTTTATTGCTTTTAACTGTTTTCTTTGTTATTTATTTATTTATTTTTTTTTATATATATGATTCTCTTTTATTCCTTCAATTATTTGTTTAATATTATTGCTATTTATAACTCTTTTTCGTCATTTATTTTTTATTTCATTTTTTTCTTGATAATTAATTATTTTCAAATAATTTATAACGGGAGTATGAGAAAAAACCAAAAATAATGACCATAAATTGAAATTTATGTATTTTAGGTTAGAAGTGAGATAAATTAATTGTATTTAATTTTTTAAACATAATAGGTATAATTAATTCTTCCATTTAATTATTATACTAATCATGAGAAAAAAAAAGTTATATAGTTTTATTAAATTAATTTAGTTGAAGATACTGATTAAAATTAATTGCTAAAATGAATAAAAAATTAAATAGAATGTTAGTGGGTTAAATTTATTTTAATAATTTTATTAATAAAATAAATTAACTAACCACCAATTAATTATCTAAATTAACTAATGTAATAAAATTATTGGAATCAACCGCATCACCAAACAAAAGTAGTAAACATAGATAGTATCATATTCCAAGACGACATCATGTTCATAGACATCTTATTTCCATGACATTTTAAACAAAACCTTCAGCCCAACAACTCCCTAACAACTCCTAATGGATATCAAAAATCGTGATCAAGCTTGTAAAAACTGTGACAGCTCTTTCCAAATATTAGAGTGTTGGAGGTTAAAATGGCGAGAAAAATGAGTCAATCTCGCATAGAACTTGGAGCTTGAAATTCAAGAGAAGAAGCAATGCAAGACAATGTTTGGAAGCTAAGAAAAATGTAACATAAACCATGTCTAAACAAATTGGTGTGTCATTTCGTTTGTCTAATAATGACTTTGAAAAGAACCAATGTCTAGAAGATACATTAATTTTGAGATGATTACAAGTAAATTTCAACCACCAAATGAGGTTAATGATGAAGAGGAGGAGGACAAGGCAATCCGGGAATGATACAATACACAATATAAATTACGTGGAGGACAGTCTAACCTGCCCACTTTTCCATCTCCCCTTTCCAATGGGGCAACCAAACATGTCATCAATTCTGCTAAGAACTCCACCACAACAACTTGCGTTCCTTTATTTCAAATTTCTTCTACTTTCCCCTCCTTTTTCTTAAGCTATGTATGTACCTGAGAAATGCTTACTAATCCTATTCCTATGCCTATTCCTATTCCTACCCCCTCCCTCCTCCTTCCTGTTTCTGTGCCACGCCCCCCCAATTTGATCATCTATGCCTACGTCTCCTACTCGAACGCCCCCCCAACTGTCTTGTCCCCCCATTGTTGTTCTCATCACTTCCTCCATTATCACTGCCTTCGTTAATGGAATCAAAGCTACTAAGCGGAGTGGTATTGGGAATAATACCTGTAGTAGCTCCTTCATTTGATCTGGGAGACAAAATCCTCTCCGGCTGTCTAAGCCGTCTGTTGAGGTCGTCGCCACTTGATGGACCAAAAGCATGTAACAGAAGAAACATATTCACCAAATTGCTATCAAAACCCACTCCGAAGCCCCCATCATCCCTCTCTGCAGCATTTGCATTCAACCCCCCTTCTTCCTCTTCTTCAGATTCAAATCCAATACTATTTCTTTCTATCACATAATCCCCATACACCACAGCTCCAGGCGTTGTCGACCTGATTGTGCTCATCACATCATTCCTCTCGCGTTCCCGCTCCAGTCTTCTCCATTTTTGTTCAAGTATAGGATCCACCTCCCAAGGCCTTGCAGATGGGTGCTCTGATCTCACGTGTTTCCTTAGTTCCTTGTAATTTCCAACAAACGTGCAGCCATCCTGCATGCAGGTCCTCTTTTTAGTATTCAGATATTCTCGGGCAGGCTCAACCACAGTCCATCCTTTCACCTGTACACGACAGAGGGGGCATGCAAGCTCGGTCACTTCATGTTTTTCACCTAGCAAACTTGGGTCCTGTACACCACCTGGGTTATCAATTGAGGCGCTTACTGGTCGTGCATTGTTGGATGAAATTACTTTGGTGTAAGCCTTTTTGTACTGATCAAGGCAGTTCGAATAACGTAGGCTCGTACCACACATATAGGGACGGCAACCCTTATCATGAGATGAACAAAGTAAAAGAACAGCATTGTGTGGGTACTCCATGCATATGGAGCATGTTGCATCTTCCCAGTACTTATTATCCAGAGCGCTGACACAATCCTTTGGGCACAAATCCTCTGGGAAACCCCTCTTAGAAGGGAGTGGATATGGGTTTGACCTGAATTGACGAGAAGCCAACCTGCGTCGTCCCTTGCTCCCTTTGGCCATTTCAAGTTTCAACCTGTAGAGAATATAACCAAACAATTGTAAGTAATATGAAATCGGCATGCCATTTTATCAGCAAGACTAAGTGGCTTGTAAGACATAAATAATGAACCTCACACTGCAAATTATTTATGCTCCTACAACAAAGGACCAAGTCTTCATTCAAATAATGCACCTCATCCACTTAATTTGATGAACAAATAATAATAATATTTTGCAAGGGATTCAATTCAAGTTCACAAAAAGCATAAACTAATTCCCGCATGTATTGATGAAATCTTCCTACCTCTCGAAGGAGGTCATACATATAATCCAACAACCAACCATCGAGAGACCAACATTTTTTAAATGTTATGAGGTTCTACAAAGTAAGCTTCCTCTGCACTGCATCTCCCTGTCAATCTATTAGTTTTGTATATCTGAAAGAGATGTTTGACAACAAAATTTTCAATTTCCCCTACTCAAGTCAATGTTAGTGGAAATTATTTTAATTATGTACATTGGAGAACGTTCTTCACTTGTTGGTTGATCCTCCTTTAGCACAAAAATCTCGGGTGCTATGGTCTAATGCAGTGAAAGCTCTCCTATCTGAAATTTGGTTCAAAAGGAATCAACAAATTTTACACGTCTCTTCCATGGATTGACTGATTTGGTTCAACTCATCTCAAAGCCTCAACATGGTGTCCTCTTTCCAAACTCTTTGCAAATTATTATATTTAAGATGTATGTATTACTTGGCACACTTTTATATTTCCCTTATAATTGCTTTTGTATTGCTTTTATGCTTTCATGCCTTCTTTTTCTCTCTCTACCCACTAGGGTTTTCTTGTACTTTTGAGAGCATCTCTTTTAATTATTTCAATGAAAATTTTTGTTTCCTTTAAAAAAAAACAACAATACAAAGTAGCATATTTTATAATACTATGAACAAGCTAAGAGTTAATATTGTTAGTAGAAAACATTCTCCCTACTTTTTTTTTTCTTTAATGGAAGACGAAGAAGTAAAATCCCAGCTTAAAGGGGCTTGAGAGGTGGTCTGGCCCCTTCCCCCTCCTTCCTTTTCTCCTATTGACCAACGTCCTAAGTTGGATACCACTCAGAGCAAATAATTCTGATCTGGTGTCATTATTAATGGGATATGAATCTGTATTCATCATCTTATGTTTGTGGATGATATCCTAATTTTAAGTGAAGACAAGGGAAAAAAAAAAAAAAAAGATGAGTGGTGTCTTTAAGATCCTTAAATTGTTTGGAACTGCTTTGGGGTTAAAAGTCACGATCAAGAAGACACCTATGTGTAGTATTAATATAGATTGAGACCTTGTTATACCGAAGCAGTTCTTTCCAAATGCTAAATAAAATGGGGGAGTGACCTATAAAGTATGTAGGAATGCCACTGGGAGGAGATTCGATGAAATTCTCCTTCCAATAATGAAGGTTCCAGAAAACAGAAATAGAAGACCTTAATCTCCAGAGGTAAATTAACTCTTACTATCAATTTAATCCTCTGTAAGTACCCTCTGACTATCTTTCCTTTACCAAGCTTCCACTCTTGTGTTATCATTAGGGAATATTAAGCGTCCTACCAGGCATATCATGGATTTTGAACCTCCTCCTCATTGCATTCTCGACAGTGTTGTTAAAAAGTGATAATTATTTTGCCTTATTTTGTTCACAGCTGTTAACCTGTCCTTTCATTTACTAGTACTATTCTCACTTGTAGTGGCTGGAAAAATTGATGCGGTCATAAAGTTAAGGTTTCCATTGGAGTGCCACATAGAGAAGCATTAATACACACGGAAAGAATTAAAAAAAGTTCAGCAATTGGGATTATCCCGTTCAGTTTGCTGTCTCTGTTTAAGGGATGAAGAAAGTCCTTTTTCCATTACCCATACGCTTCAAGGGTTGGAGCTCACTATGGAATAAAGTTGGAATGTCCAGCTTTTTGCCTAGATCAGTCGTAGACTGGATGCTTGAGGCTCTTAATTGGTGGTCCATGGATAGGCAAGGAAATTTTTTTGTGAAGATGAGCCTCTAGAGCCCTTCCACCCTCTAACTTCTTTAAAGAATTCTCCTATTCTTTTAAAGGAGAATGTTCCACAAAGAAGTCAAGAAGTGGTTTGCCAAATAACCATCCCTATCCTAAGAAATGGATGAACACCTCCAACATCATATAACAAGTTGATTATGAGTCAACTTTTCTTGAGCATCAGCTAGACTTGATTAGTCTTCTATTCAAAGAATTGAACTTTATTTCTAGGAGGAGAACCACATCAGGGTTCATTTTGCTAATCGTATCCTTGACCAGAACTCTATTATTGGGAGCTCCAAGGCCTAAAAAATTCCAAGATAGAAGCTTCATGGGGAAACATCATGGCTCTGCTTACTCCTAATCTGCTTTGTCTCTTCACCTTTTTTTTTTCTTTTTCTTTTTCTTTTTCTATGAATAAACATCTTTCCTTAAGGAGAAAAAAAAAGAAAGAAGACACGGGCATCCAAAAAACAAGCACACAAAAAGGAAGCCATCAAAGAAAAGGTCTCCAGTCCTGTCAAATAAGACTTAATGGGCAATTAAAAAATAAATAAATATAAAAAAATAAAATAAAATAAAAATAAAACCCTTCAATACCAAAGCCCAAAGGAAAACTTCACTATTGTTGTCCATGGGGACTTCCAGCACTTCATTTTCCCAAGATCTTAATAAGCTAACAAGTTCTTTTGATTTTGAATTTTTTTCCTTTGCCACACCTTTAGAAGAATTCCCTTTTGAAGGGAATTGACCTGAAGCACAACTTCCATTTTTTAGGGCCCTAGCCAAATTCTTTGAGAAGGGCAAAACTTCCCCGATTCCTCCTCGTGCACCTGCTTAAGGATCTCTTCTAGTAACTTACGAGGACCATAAAGAAGAAATCATTCTCCATCCATTTAACCTCAAAGGGAATAAAGCTACAATAGTTATTATTCACTTTAATTGCGACCTCCATACAACCAATAAGAGCAAAGTTACAATCAGCGTAATCAAAAAAGCTCCAAAAACATTTCCAATTGTTCTTAAGGCTGATGAACTCCAAAAACAAAAGGGATGCTTCAACTTGATTCATCTTTTGTATGACAGGAAATGTCTTTGTAATCATCATGGATTATTCATCCCTTCTGAAAATTTCATACATCAATTTATATTGTTTCTTATTTTATTTTATTTTTAAAAAAAAAAAGACAATCATGCTTCCAAACCTACATGAAGTAATACAATTAACCACTTAAAAATTGCATTCTAGGATTTTGTTTTGCTATAAAGCAATTTTCAATAACTGGCATAGATTTGTCTTAAATCATATTAGAGTACCATTGATAGATACATTGAATGAAAGAATAAAACGCGTAACAAAGAATCTAACACTGGTAGAATCATTAAGGTATGTATTACATGCAAACATACTCTCTTTATTAAGAGACATATTGGATGCATTTTACAAACGATTCCAACTTATTTTGCCATGTTGATTAGTCCCTTCCATTTGTCCAATAAGCATGTCACAATATTATTCATATAACCACATTTCAACAAACAGGAACATAATTGAAAATCTAAAAGTTTAGGCATTAAATAGAAAAGCAAGTATTAGAGACTAAGTTTATATTTAACCAAAAAAAAAAATTGAAGGTTTGTTTAAGAACTATTTTCCAAATAACTTTACGTGCATTAGAACAAAAATTTAGCAAATGGACAGCTGTACTATAAAATTCTCTTTTTCTTATTTTCCTTTACTTTAATCTCACATGTGATTTATTCTTTTCAGAACAAATGAAGTTACTCTTTCTTTCCAAATCACGAATTTTGAAAATTAATTTCAATGTACACAATAATTTAACACACGTTTTTTAGATGAAAACAAAAACACAAAATGGCTTTGGATAACAGTTTCACAAGAAGGTCAAAGATATGAATCTAATTAGCCAAGAAATTTCTTCAAAATCAACTAGTATTAATGACAATTGGGAATGAAATTCAGATCAAATATCCACTACCCAGCATTCAACAACGGAAACTAACTTCTATAATCAAGGATAGACAGTAGCATCTTAAAGAACTCCTGGAAACAAATAAATCGTTGTTTAAATGTCAAAACATACAAGAAATGGCATGCCTGCAGTACGAAGCAAAAAAGTCTACGAGATCATCAACAATTTCCAGATCATCAACTCCGAAAGAAAAACATCAAAATCAGAAGGCCAACACTCACCAGCTTCAAAAAGTTCAAGGAAATCTAGATCACCGAGAAGTCAGAAGGGAGAGATCGAACTTCGCCTGCAATACCATTAACGCAAAAAAAAAAACAGACTATCATTTAAGGAGTCGTAAAAATAGCAGATAGCTAAGAACAAGAGCATAGTTAACGAAGCAATCCGCAAGAATCAAAAGGATGCGAAATTGATTAGACAACTGAAGTCGCACATGGCCTTGACTTTTAACCATGTGAATCAATCAAACAAACAATAAATTAAAAGAAACATAGATTATAAAGCAGACAAATCCCTCTAGAGATAGAAAACATAAAAAAAAATGATAAGAATTAGAACAAACATGAAACATACAGCATTTGAACCGATAAGGAAAATTACCGAGAGAGAAAAGGAAAACCAGAAAAGCAGACGCTGAGAACACGGTAGAGCAGGATTGAAAGAAAAAGAGAGAGGGCAGCAATGGGGGAGTGAGGAGAGAGTTAGGGTTTAGGAGGAGCACATGGAAGACGGAGGCGAAGAAATCGAAGGAGTTACGAGCAGAACGGAGAAGAAAGGGAAGAAACAAGCTCTCTCTCTCTCTCTCTCTCTCTCTCCTCATTCCATTACCAAACAAGAGAGAGAAGAAAGCGAATCGTTAAGAGTCATTTCCACGCCACCACTTTCTCCTCCTCTCTACAACGTTCGTACATCATGGGAGAAGAGAAAGAGAAGCGCGTGATACCACTCGCCATGGAGCGAGTGGGCGTAGAGCTATCACGTGGGCTCTTTTCCACGCCCATGTGAACCCTCAGATTCTCATCCAACGGTGGAAGGGATGAGATCGGAGATTTGATCTGAGGGAGGAGGTGAGGTTGCTTGGACGGCTGTTAAGGTGACACGCAACCATAAAGCCCAAATTTTATTCTCACTCAACATATCAATACCAAATACTTTATCCATTTTCTCAATAAGATAATATAATTTTAAGATATAATAAGAGTATTTATTAGATTTAAAGATGGTTGAGAGCACATGAGTGTGTCCTTCCTAATTAATAAATATGAGTTGGATCATGTGTTTTATAATTGTCTTAGAGTCGTTACACATGTATGACATAATTTCTGTATGTCGAAACATTAATTTAAAACGATGTTATGGTCTTGTGTGCTTACGAAAAGATTTTAGAGTAAATTAAAACAAAAATTAAATAAAATATTAAAATAACAATGCCCTACACTAACCTAATCTAAGATTTATAAAAATAAATGTAATAGTTTCATGGTCTTTGATACAATGCCTAAAGGAATGTGAAGCATTCGTAATCATTTTGATTTTATTAAGAATTAAAACAAAACAAGAAATTTGAAAGCATGAACTCTACCTTGTATGAACCCTCCGAACCTATTCAAAGAAAATCCCAAAGGGATTGGAGAAAGAAAGTTTCGAGAATTCTCTCAAAATTTAATTTCAGAAGAAGTAGAAGAGATTCATATATCTTTGGTTCAACCGAAGTCCTGTTTATAGGAATTTTTGGAGAATATTTGTCAAATAATATATTTACATATTTAATATCTTTTATAAACATATAACTTAATATATATTTAACTAATTTAGGTAAATATGATAAGATAATTTAATTGAAATCTTATTCAAATTTCACATATATTTTTATTTAATGTATCATTAATTGATTTAATATTTAATTATATCAAATCCAATAAATATATTATATATTAAATATTAATTTGAACTTTTTAAATTAATATATTTGTCTCATTTTATATTTAACCAATCTCATATATTAAATATTAATTTCAACATTTAAATTAAATATATTTTCTCTATTTATTTAATATATTTAATATATTAAATATTAATTTAACCTTCCAAATTAAATTTATTTTTTTATTTCAAAATTTCTTTCAAATAAATAAACCTTTTAATATTACTATGAGCTTGGTGGGCCCATATGAACCTATATAAACTCGAATTATACAAAATTAATTAATTAAACTCTTTCATTAATCAATTTCTATTCATCAACTATAAGTCATTCCACTACAAACCTATTGTTGCACTCTTATGCACTAACAGGACAAATTATGTCCATTGATATAACCATTGCAAGCAAGTTGATCTTTCACAAGTCGTTCATAATTACAGCTGGGTCAAAAGTTATGTCCATTGATATAACCATGGCAAGCAAGTTGGTCTTTCACGAGTTGTTCATAATTACAGTTGGGTCAAAAGTCCATTTTACTCCTGTAATTACATTTTTCACCTTAAGTACCACTTATTTTCTAATGAACAATTTGTTTATAATCCAATCATAAACCAAGTCTCTCTCGAGCCAATGAGAGGGTGGGGCCCCATTGTTCAAGTCCCGAAATCAGTACTAAAGAGAACAACTCATCTACCTTCCTTATATAGAAAGGAGTGATTCCATCTCCTCATGTTATGTTCCCAACTTTCTATTTGAAGTCCCCAAACTGGTAGACATATTGAATCGGCTAACAAAGTCATTCTCACCCATGTAAATTAAAGGACAAGCCCGAATAGTCAAGAGTTCATAACTCACTCAGGATTAAGACTGAGTCACAAATGATCATCAAGTGAAATATTAATCTTCTCAATTAACAGATTTATAAAGAGTGATTAGATATTTCTTGATCCAGTCTTATACAAACTCATTGTATAGGATACCTCAACTTACATGTCTCCACATGAACGATTTGGAACAAATCATTTGTAATGATTACAAAGTGGGCCGTATCAATAGTGTCACTAGTATAAGGCACCCAACTTTATCATATACTATAGACTCTTTTAGGTTATTATTTGAACAAGATCCTCTTGTATGTCAACCACATACTACTCAAGATTACATTAACAACCTTTGATTTTCATACCATGGATAACAATTAAATTACAAATAAAATAATAAAAGTTATTATTAAAAACTAAATAATCAATTAGGAGGGTTTAGGGCATAAATCCCAACAATGTCAATGTCAACTATACATGGGTCTCTTGCCTTTACCTTAAAACAACCATTGTTCGAGAAACTTAAAAGAAATATGGGACGTACATCATTCAATATATGGTTCAAGAAGACAAAGTAAAGTCCAAAGTTGATTTCTTCACAACTCAGTTTAAGGGAAGGGAGGGTGTTGAAGTGTTATTTGTATAGATACATGTGTATGTACATGTAGGCATAGCTACATGTATATGAAGGTTCATTACTTGATAACATTTATTACATGTTCTTAGTCACGTGTATTGGGTATATATATGAATTGTGTTTAATTAGATGTATGGTTTTTAAATCATAAATGGTAGTTGGGAATGTCATCGAGAACGAGCCCACATGCCGTTCATAATCTCGGGACATTCCAAATATCCATCCATCTGGGTTCAATCGAGACATTGACCCTCCCGTGCCCATGCCATGTCATTTATGGATAGCATATCAAATAGTGGGTGCAAAATCTAACCTCTGACACTCGGGCTAGGGAGCAATATTGGCACACCCGTGGGGCCAGGTGCTGTCCTTGAAAGATAAATTTTAAAGTAGTTGCTCGAGACACTCGTCTCGAAATGCTTGTCCTCATTGTGACACATGCAGTTGCCACATGGTAGCTTGCTGAGGCCGCAGGACTTAGTGGTGGTGGAGAGATGACACCATGCCTCCCCCTATAGTAAATTTTCAGGCATTTCTAAACTGGCAGGTCTAGACATGATTTTGTTGAACGAACATACAGTGTCGTTGAGCGTCCATTTAGTGTCTGATTGACATCAAATTTGGTGAGCTTTCATATTTCATATGGACAGACTTGACTCCAGAACCGAATGCACAAATTCCCTTCGAAATCCTAACTTTCGAGGTTAAGGCCCGAAGCTTACTTGACCCTTCAACAAACTTATTTGTGACGTTTATGTCTACTCGTTGTCTGTATCTTGCTTCTGTCTCGTTTTATCTTCAATACACGCGTTATATAGTGTGTTGGATGATGCATCTGTTGGTATTTATGTCATAAAGCCTCGTAATTATTTATTTAATTTTTAATAATAATTTTTATTATTTTATTTATAATTTAATATTATCCATGATATGAAAATCTAAGGTTATTAATATAATCTTGAACATTATGCAGTTGACATACAAGATAATCGTGTTCAAGTAATAATTTAAAGGGTTTAAAATATATGGATAAGGTTGGGTGCTTATCCTAGTAACAATATTGATACGACCCACTTTACAATTGTTACAAATGGTTTGATCCAAATCGTTCGTGTGGAGATGTGTGAGTGGGGTATCCTATATAATGAGTTTATATAAGACTTGACCGAATAATATTTAATCTCTCTCTATAAATCTGTTAATTGATAAGATTACTATTTCACATGATTATCATATGCGACTCGATCTTAATTCTGAGTGAGTTATGAACTCATGCCTGAGAGGGCTTAATCTTTTAATTTGCATGGGTGAGAATAGCTCTTGTGGTCGATTCAATATGCTTACCATTTTGGGGACTTGACCAAATAGGGAGTTGGAAATATAATATCATGGGATGAAATTCATTCCTTTTCATATAAGAAAAGTAGATAAGTTGTTATCTTAAGTAGTGATTTCAGGGTTTGAACAATAAGGCTCCACCGTCTCATTGGCTCGAGAGGGACTTAGTTTATGATTGTAATATAAACAAATTGTTCATTAGAAAATCAGTGGTACTCAAGGTAAAAGATGTAATTACAGTGGTAAGACGAACTTTTGACCCACCTGTAATTATGAATGACTTGTAAAGGATCAACTTGCTTATAATAATTACATCAATGGACATAACTTGTCTTATAGTGCATAAGAGTGCAACTCTAGGTTAATAGTGGAGTGACTTATAGTTAATGAATGAAAATTGATTAATTAATGAATAATTATTTAATTTTGTATCATTTGAGATTAAACTTGCAAACTAAAGATTCAATAGAAGAGTAAATAGATTTAATTTGAGATGTTTAAATTAATATTTAATATATTAGATATATTAAGTAAATAAAAAAATATATTTAATTTGAAGTATTGAAATTAATATTTAATATATTAGATATGTTAAATATAAATAGAAAAAATATATATTAATTTGAAGAATATTAGATATATTAAAAGAGAAAAATATATTTATTATATTAAAACTTTAATATATAAATACATAAAATAAAAATATATTCAAATTTGAATGGGATTCAAATGAGTTAAATATATATTAGGATATTTTATAACATTTAAATATGATTTAATTAAGATATTATATCATAATATATTTAAATATATTATTTGACAAAAATTCTTCAAAAGTCACGTAAATAGGACGGTTGGGTTGAGGCAAGAGGACACTAATCTCTCACACTTTCTCTGTAGAATAAAACTCTCGGTCTTTGAAATTCTAACTCTTGTTCTTCAATATCTTTGAGATTTTCTTTTAAGAGGCTTCTACCAACCTTGATCTTGTGTTCGAGTCATACTAAGGGAGATCTTGGGGAATGTGGAATAACTTCTATGTTGGAATACTCCAAAGAGTCTTGTACGCTTTCTACAAAGGCAGACTTCTTACTCTCATATTTATGGTTTTCTTTTAATTCTCAATAAAATCAAAATGGTTCTCAATGCTTCCATTATATGGATATAGAGTTCATTCCCTTTAG